CCTGGCTGGAAACCATTGGACAGCGGTGTGCCACACATACACCCCTTTCGGGGCGAGGGTTGATCCAGCTCGTCTTTGGCGGTTGGAGGATGGGGATGTAGCGGGGGAGGGGGTTGGGGCGCATGCTCTGCCAGGGCGAGGTCAATCTGCTGTGGTCCCGGTGACGAGCTGAGGTCCACAATCGATGAAGCGCTGGGTGCATCTCCTGGTGCACTCGATCCAAGTCGTGGAGGATGGGGAGGGTTGGGGGATGGGGTCGTCGTGTTGTTGCCCGCCTCGAAGTACTGTGGCAAAGACTGCGAGCTTCTGGGCAAGGCCACATTCTCCAAGCTCTGGTGCTGGTGGAGATGTACATGTCCTTGAAGCTGGCGGGTGGCGTCGTTTGTCTCAGTGCCGTGTAGGTGATGGCGTTGCTGACATTGATGTACCATCCTTCATACTCCTTGAAGTATGATGGGTCCAGGACTTTGTGGACGGCGAACTTCTCCGTGTAGTATGATGGCACCATGTGGTACGTGTCATCGATGTAGTTGTACCTTTTGTAGAAGGGTTCCATGACGTGGCGTGGTTCTCTGCGTAGGTGCTCCATGTCTAGTTCGTGTTCATCCATGAAGATCACGTGGAAGGGACCGGTCAGGAAGTCCAGTACGTAGCTCCACATGTTGGGTTCGGGATATTGCGGGTGTTAGGTTTGCGCCGAAACTGGTGGTCCTGCCTCGTCGGTGGCATGGGTCTTGGGGTCTAGGGTAGATAAATGAGGCTTATCATGATGCGTGAAGGAACTGGGCTCGCACTTGGTCTCCATTCTTTTGCTCACTCCAAGCCAAGCGTCGGAGGTAGGTGAAATAGAGCAGGAATCGTTTTTGGTGAAAACAAATTGACCAAAGAGTTAAAATGGTGCTGGTTGCTGGGATGGCGCTGATCACGTTGATGTCCTCCTAGCGTTACGTCCAGCATGACAAAGCGCTCAGGACACGTGAGGGACTGGGGTGGGCGAGAGCTGCACATGAACACATGAGAATGCATGATCAAAATCGCACTTCCCTGCATGACGCGGGGTTTAGGGAGGAAGGGAAGTGGGGATCATCACTGCTCGACATGGTCACAGTGCGTGTCACGTGCACACAGTCTCCTCCTTTTGTTATGACACTGCACGTCACCTATGCACAAACGCCAACATGTCTGGGTCACAGTAGTACCGGCATTCGTAATACTGCCTCGTGTGGTCGGCGGGTTCTGCTCGTCGTAGTGGGGGTGTTGGGGACAGGGCGGTGGGGTGACCGGGAAAGGTGCATGTGTCGCGTAGATCTGGAGCTCCTGGGGAATGCTGGGCTGGGCTCGTAGGAGGTTCTGCTGCGACTTCTGGCGCGGTGTGTGACGAAGGCGTCCACTTGGTGTTGGTCAGCAGGAGGTTGGGGCAGGAGGTTGGGATTGCACTGGAGAGGCCCTGGCGTGGCTCTGAAGCAAAGGTGCAACGACTTTTTCGAGCATGCCGGGGATGCACATGAACATCTCCGTCACCTGGGAAGTTGCCGTCGATGGTGTGGAGGAAGAGGGTTGTTCCGGGACTTGGCGAGGTTGCTGATGTTCTCAGTGAGGGGGAAGTTGTCCTCGTTGAAGATCTCCCTGACGTGCGTCTGATGTCTGCGCGTTCAAGCTTTGGTTGAGATCACTTCCATGGTTCAGTGACTGCAAGCTGCCAGGCAACATGATATTCTGCAAGCTCTGGCTGCAACGTCGTGGATGTCGTACTGCTATTGGAAAGGGTTTTCGGGGTCAGGGTGGAGGGTTTAGGGTCACTCGACGTGCTGGTGCTGGTGCAGCTTGTGGACGTAGAAGTTGACGACATCTAGCCGTAGATGTCGAACTGCTATTGGAAAGGGGTTTCGGGGTTGGGGTGGAGGGTTTAGGGTCACTCGACGTGCTGGTGCTGGTGCAGCTTGTGGACGTAGAAGTTGACGACATCTAGCCGTAGATGTCGAACTGCTATTGGAAAGGGGTTTCGGGGTTGGGGTGGAGGGTTTAGGGTCACTCGACGTGCTGGTGCTGGTGCAGCTTGTGGACGTAGAAGTTGACGACATCTAGCCGTAGATGTCGAACTGCTATTGGAAAGGGGTTTCGGGGTTGGGGTGGAGGGTTTAGGGTCACTCGACGTGCTGGTGCTGGTGCAACTTGTGGACGTAGAAGTCGACGACGTCTAGCTGGATGAGCTGGTGCTCTATGACGTCGGAGTCGAGGATGCAAACCCTAAAACCCTAAACCCCAAACCCAAAACCCTAAACCCTAAACCCTGCTGCTGGATGACGTAGATGTGGCCGAAGTTGGCGTTGATGAAGTTGACGTGGACGAGCTGGAAGTCGAAGAGGTTGATGTGGAGATGTTGGTGAGGATCTCCATGTACTCCTTGAGGTCGTAGAGAGTTGTGCTATAATCGCGGGGGTCGACCGGGGTCGGGTTCCACAGTCTGGTCCACGCTAGCTAATCATAGCGCGTCTTGTACTTTGGAGTGAACTAGTCGTCAAACGTCAACGTCTGCAGGCCGCTGGGGAACTGGATCTCCGCCAAGCTCTGGTTGAAGTTGGAGCCAAACGTCAACGTCTGCAGGCTGCTAGGCAGCTGGATCCCCGCCAAGCTCTGGTTGAAGTCGGAGCCAAACGTCAACGTCTGCATGGTGCTAGGGAACTGGATCTCCGCCAAGCTCTGGTTGAACTTGTGGCCAAACGTCAACGTCTGCAGGGTGCTGGGCAGCTGGATCCCGCCAAACTCGGGTTGAAGTCCCATCCAAACGTCAACGTCTGCAGGATGCTGGGCAGCTGGATCTCCGCTAAGCTCTGGTTGAACCTGGAGTCAAACTTCAACATCTGCAGGCTGCTGGGCAGCGGGATCCCCGCCAAGCTCTGGTTGAACTTGTCGCCAAACGTCAACGTCTGCAGGGTGCTGGGCAGCTGGATCCCCGCCAAACTCTGGTTGAACTCGGAGCCAAACGTCCCTGTCTGCATGGTGCTGGGGAACTGGATCTCCGCCAAACTCTGGTTGAAGGCCCATCCAAACGTCAACGTCTGCAGGCCGCTGGGGAGCTGGAGTCCCGCCGAGCTCTGGTTGAAGTCGAAATCAAACGTCAACGTCTGCAGGGTGCTGGGCAGCTGGATCCCTGCCAAACTCTGGTCGGTGATGTTGTAGTCTGGGTCGTTGATCTTCCAGGCGATGTAGTCGTCCCCAGTAGGGCCAAAGGCCAGGCTGCAATCTATTAGAAAGGGTTTTCGGGGTTAGGGGGGAGGGTTTAGGGTCACAGATGACGTAGTTAGTGAGGATCACCATGTACTCCTTCGGGCCGTAGAGAGTGGTACTACAATCGTGGGAGTCGACCGGGGCCGGGTTTCACAGGCTGGTCTGGAAGCTCAAGGACTGCAAGCTGCCACGCATTGCGGCATTCTGCATGGTGTTGCGGTATAAGCAACTACTATGATGTCGACAAAAAACTATTTCAGAAAACTAGTTATTACGGCGGTAGCTTTAAAGAAAAAGAAAAAGAAAGAAAAGGAAAAAGAAAAAGTTGCCAATCTCGCCGGGGGCTGGGTCACGACTAACAATCGAGGAACATACGGCACGCCGGCCGTCTTGCAGGACATCGTTGGCACCCATATTAATGGGCCCGGCATGTTACTAGTGCAAGGAAAACGATAGGACTTTTGATTCTCACTCGCCAGGTGAGCTCACATTTTTGGATTATCCTATGCGTCCGCACCGGAGTGAAGACTAACATAGGCAGCATGAACGCGTAGGAGCGAGGCTCCACCTACACCCGCGGCCCAAGGCAATGGGCGGGCTGGCTGTATAACACACTTATTGTTTTTAGTGTTTCCACATAACCTGGTCGATGGGGGTGCTCCGAAGGTAGAGATGCTCAAACAAGCTGCCGAGGCGAACGTCCATGATGATGAGGTAGAAGGGTCACGAATGAAGCTTTATATGAGATATCATATTGCAAGGAAAGGGTTTAGGGTAATGCGCCATGCTCCAAAAAGACCAAAAAGACCATGCTCCATAAATGTCTTGCTCCAAAGGTCATGCTCCACAAACGCCACACGAAGCTGCTGCAAACCTGAAAACCTGCAGAAGATCTTATCTGGAATGCCACAGGGGGCCCATTCCGTTTTGCAGATCTGTCCCGCCACAAGGGGCCCGGGACTTTTTGCAGGTACGTTGCACCGCTCTGTGGGAATGTCTTCGTTGGCAGGAGATTCCCATGGAGCGCTCCTGCCCCCTGCTGGTTTCCAAACGAAAACTTGTTGATGTGCTCAAAAATGCTCCTGCTTGTTCACGAACCCGCATGTACAGCGGTGTGCCACACACACACACAGACACACACACACACACACACACAGACACACAGACACACAGACACACAGACACACAGACACACAGACACACAGACACACAGACACACAGACACACAGACACACAGACACACAGACACACAGACACACAGACACACAGACAATCACTAGCAGATTGTGGACGCGCTCAAGACACATCACAATGCAGCGGACTTTTGGCAGCCATCGATCTCAGTTCCAATCCGTTGATGCCGGCAACGCCGGAAGAAGAAACGCCGGTGGGCGTCAAAGTTATACAGAATTCGCTGCTCCTCGGCAGCACACGCCACAGGCCTCTCCAGGGCGGGCGGGCGGGAAACTGAAGCTCTGCGCAGACGCACCGGAACCTATGTTGCGCAGAGCTACAGAGTGAGCTCACATCCACAACTGCGAGTGATTGTATTGCACGCAGAGGCGTGAAAGCCCCATCACTAGCAGATTGTGGACGCGCTCAAGACACATCACAATGCAGCGGACTTTTGGCAGCCATCGATCTCAGTTCCAATCCAGAGCGCTAGCCGCTGCCAAAAGTCTGCCGCCACCTGAACAACCACACAACGCGCGGCCACCTGACAAGAAAAGGACTGCAAGAATCTTCTCGCAAGAGTCCACGCGCCACTTCAATCACACCCTACGGCCCAACTCCAACAGACTTTGCCAGTCTACAAAGCATCGTCTCTCTGCTTGAAGTTGATGCCAGAAGTCAGGTAGGACACTCGGCCCCCGGGAGAGAGCATCCGCCCACTGGTTGCGGTGTCCTGCGACATGCGACACGCGCAGGGAAATCTTGTGTCGGCCGCACAGCAGAGCCATAGACTGCACCACGTCTGACAAGGGGCGCTTCATTGCCGACCACTTAGCCACTGCTCCGACAGCCCCATCGTTGTCGCAGAACTGTCGCAGCACAAGATCGCCGACGCCACGCGGCCGTTCTGCAGGAAATGCCTGCAGCAATCCGGCGCACAGCACCAGCTGCGCCAATGCCTCGAAGGCGGCAATGAAGCTTTGCAAACGCGACCTATCGCCATCAGCGCAGAACCACTCCGGAAGCTCATCTGCACTGATGCTGAACGAGAACCAGCGAATGCTACTTGGATCCAACTTGTTCCCATCCAGTCCCGGCATGAACCACCATCCCCCAACGCCAGCGCGATCCCCTCGCGCGAAAGCGTCAGCACAGGCCAAGACACTGGGGCCCTCGCGCTCCACCAGGCGCACCTGCACATTGGCCTCCACCAGCTTATGGTAGAATCGGGCAACTTGGGCCTCCTCAGCCGTGATCCGTACTGATAGGGATGTAGGGTCGGCGCACTTGCACCAAACCCTCTCGGTGTCAGGGTACATTTGCATCACGTGCTCTGGTTCGCCCCAGACATGTTTCCCTACCTGAAGAATGCGCCAGCCAACTGGAATGTCGGATAGCTGCGCTGCACGGCCGACGATCCCCTCAGCACTGCAAAGGTCTAGGATCTCACGTCGCTGCACGCCATCCAAACAACGCATTGTTAACGCTGGCTTGTGTAGAAGGTGAAACAGCTGACGGAGCCAGGGTCGCAACCACCGCGCCCCTGTTGTGAACCACGAAAGCAGCCCCACAATGCTCTCCAGCTCGCGACGCAACACCTTCTTGCCCGGCACTAAAAGACAATGCAATCCAGCAAGAAGCCTCGCGCGTTTGTCCTCCGGCAAGGTTGCAGACGGAGAATCCACCAGTCTGATATCCCAGCCCACCCATTTCACACGAGGACCCAGCCTGAGTTTTTTCCAACTCAGAGGGACACCCAAGGCGACAGCAAGGCAAATCACAATGACTGCCATCCTCGGCGCCACAGGTCTCGGAAATAAGGCAAGCATGTCATCGACATACATCACCAAAAAATGTCTCCGTCGCAAAACGCGATGCGCACCAGCGAGGCTGCCGCCCTACTCCACCAATACGCCGCCCAGGAGCATCCAAAGTGGCAAGTACGGTAGCACAGCCAGCGTACTCCGCCAGCACCATCTGGGACCGCAAAGAGAGAGACCCACGCTCGGCCTCGGACACCTTAACCCTCTCATCCAACAGGAATCCTATCCACTCCACTTCCGGATGCCGTGATAGGAACGCCGAGGCGTCCAACAGAGATGGCAATTCTATGCGCTCAGCGATCCGGCACATGCGATTTGCATTCGACACTGTACTGTCGCCCACCAAGCGCGGCTCGCTACCTTCCTTTTTCACAAGACCGAGTCGGCCAGCTGCACACGCCTGCCCAAACCGCTTTTGAGCCTCAGCCAACCCGCCAGGTAGCCATTCCGCGAAGCCAGCGTCCACGTCCGCCTGAACCAAACGCAACAAACATTCAGGATCTTTCAGACCCGAGCCCCACGGCGCATCATGAATCAGCAGATCCAACGGAGGCCGCTCCGCAACCTCCACAGGCTTCCACACACCTGACGGAGGAATAGTTTGCGGAATACCTGTGGGCACGCCATCAGCCAGCAGCGCGGGGAGCCTGGCATCCTTATCATCGAAAAGCTGCAGCATGCCCGCCAGCAGGTTGAGAGCAGGAGGTTGGCCGTCGGCCACACGCGGGTCACAAGAAACACCATTGCTTCTCAGAAAAGAATGAAGATCGGCACGCAATACTTCACTCTCCCCGTCACTCAGCATTGGTGTCACACTGTGCCCATCGATGTGCTGCCTCAGACGCTCCTCCAGCCCCCATGCTTCTGCCCGCCGCAGCCATGTAAACCGCAGCTCACCGAAAACATCAGGGCCGTCATCCTCGCCCCAATCAGCGCTGGACTCCACACCTCCACCATCCTTCAATCTCGCCCCTGCTGCCACACGCTCAGGCTGCAACGATGTGCCGGCCGCCGGCCCTTCCAGCGACTCGTCAGCTCCACACGAAAGCCAAGATGTATCGCTGTCTCAACGCTTCCGCCCTCTACCGTCCTGGCTACATGTCCGCGAATCGTGACTTGGACTCCCGCACTTGGCACACTGGTGCTTGTATCTGCAAGACGGATCCTGGCAGCGACCGTCCATCCAAAGGAAGCACTCCCCGGTGCGCGGTTTCTTGGCATCCGCAACCAGCTCAGCCCCTTGCTTTCGCTTCAGCGGCTCACGCGAAGGTCGCAGGGGTGGACCATCTTTCAAAAGTTTCGGAATTTGCGGCACCTTCGGCAGCTTCGGCTTGGGGACCAGAAGATGTCGCAAAAGATCTCGATCCACTACAATGGAAGTCAGGGCATCGTCCAGCGACTCACCCCGATAGCACAGACTGAAGATCTCTTGTAGGGCCGCCTTATCTGCCTCTTCGGCTTCCTGGACAGTCGGTGGCCGGAAATGCTCAGCTGTCTCTGCCGCGTAAAAGTCCAAGAACTTGGTGACGTAGATATTCCAACTGCCGAGATGACAGGCGCCCGTCATAGCAAACGCGTGCGCCCGCACCTGGAGAAGACCCTGAACCTTGAATGGGGAAGGTGACAAGTCCAAGTCCCACTGTTCAGACTGCATGCCAGATGACGCCATCAGGTACTCTGCAATTGCATCACGCTCTGTCTCTGACTTTCTCCCCCGAACGGCAGTAGCCGCCTTGTCGCTCAAGAGCTTTTTCCATGGAATCCATTCCCACGCCTTCTGCTGCGATTGCGCATGTACCAACTGCAAAAGAGACATAGATGGAAGACTGGACGGGGTAATGTACAAACTCGGATAGTTTTTCTCCAGCTCGCGCTTGTACTTGTCGCGATCCAACACCGTCACCCGATTGTTAGCCCCAGCTCCGCAGCCGGAGGCTGGGATAGCCAACGTCGAGGTTGTCCCTGCAGCAGGGGCCGGCCCTGCAGCAGGGGTCGGCAACGCGGGATTTGTCCGATCTTTATTCTTGCAGGACTCCCACAAGCTCCGCAAAATCCCAACCACAGGTTGGAACTCCCACGTATCACCCGTGACCCCGGCAATCACCTTCTTCTCAACGAGCAAATATTTCAAGAACTTCAAGAACACCGCTTCGTCCTTGAACGAGAACGATGCTGCGCAGTTGTACCCCAAATCCAACAGCGCCTTGCGCACAGCTTCTGGCACCAAAGCTGTTGTCATCATCTCACTCCACGCCGCAGCCGCCATGACACGCAGAAGAGATGGCAACAAGACAAAATGCGCTGGACAGTGAAGACTGCGATTCAGTGCGTCGCACTCAATAAGCTACACCAGCCGGCATCACATGCGCAGAAAATGTCACAGCAACCACGCGGCTGCGCACACTTCAAAGACATGCGCTGACACTCGCCAGCTCAACCCTCCATACCGAGGAAACACCAGCGCCACGCAAGCACCCGAAGTTACACGCCCCCTCTCGTGACAAATTGCGCTGACGCTCGCCAGCAAAGTCGCAGACCCTCGTCTGCAAGAACCCAGTGAACGCCGGACCAGGGTGTTTCCGCTCAATATTGGCACTTGGGCACACTGCACTATCCCAAGTGAGCGTAACAACCACTATGCCCGCAACGCTGAAAGCCTTGAACAAAAGGGTCCAAATGCACCAGCTCATTCTGTGTAGATATCGGATCGCGTGGGCGGCAGGCTCGGCCCCACTGCCGCCCTTTCCACTCCAGCCCTTTTGCATCCGACGCGAGCAGCACGGCTTTGTGGAACACACCGGACGTCGCATTCACAACCCACGGTCCCTCGTCTTCTAGAACATCTGCATCTTCCACATCAATCGCCGAAGGACCATCCGAGTCCAGGTCTTCTTCGTCATCCTCCAGAGGCAAGTTGTCACCTTCCCGAGGTCTCGATTCCTCATCTGACTCCGACTCCGTGTCCACAGACTGCAAGACCGAGATATTATTGGCATTAGCGGGAATGAGCGCAGAGATCACTTGTGGATCGTCACGCAAACCTGCCACACCACGTTGTAGGGGAGTAACAGGGACAAATCCCCGCCAAATTGCCCGGAGAATGGACTCTTGGCATCGTAGCTGAGGCAACACGTCGTCGCGACCGTATTTAACAACACAGTCGCTTTTCAACTTATGATGTCCTTGCGCTGCCTTCCAATCCTGCCGCACTGATAGCTGCAAAGCCCAGGACAAGGTCGTTGTCTTACACGAATGCAGTGAATATCGCCGAGCTTCAGCCACGGACAAGCCGCCGTAGGCCACTAAACACCTTCGCAACTGAGCCAACATGACAGCATAACCCATGGGCTTGCCAGAGGATGCCATGACAAAGTCGCGCTGCGGCTGGTCTGCACGGATTTGCAGCAAGATCTTCCCAAGCCGCGTTCCCCAATTGTTGTTTGTGGCGCCGGAGAGTAACACCCCAAACGGAAACCCAGAAACTGATGTCTTGCTCCGCCACGTCCAAGCGCGGAGCGATTCTGCATCGAGCACCAACGATGAAAGTTTCAATCGCTGAACATCACTCCAGCGAAGTCCGCCCCAGACCATCAACAGAACGCATCCAATCAGAATAGCATCGCCGCTATGACATGCATCAATGGCCTTCTCAAGCCTGGCCACCACCGATAATGGCAAGGGAAGCGCTTCCCTCGCTGGACGTCTGTCCCACTTGTCGGCCGCCAGCCACGCTTCGACCACCGGCCCAGACAAGATATCACAAAGGGACAAAGGGCCGTAAGGCCCAGCTTGTACGCCAGAAATCTTAAAGATCGCACCTTCTCCTTGGCGCTTCCTTTGCGTGCAGAGCCGCGATCGGACGATGCGCCGATGGAAAGCGCACCAATCCAACAATTGCTCCAACGAAGGCGCACCTGCAGAATACTCAGACGCACGCGCAAACATGGACCACTGCCGCCAGGCGATCATGTGGCGTTGCAAGGTGCTCGCAGCCCGGTCCATGAACAAGAAGAGCAGCTGATCACCCGCTAAAGACGGCATCTTCTGCAGGACTTCACTGTCTACACGCAGGGTCTCTGCCACATCGACCCACTTTCTTGCCAGCAGCCGGCGAAGAGAATCATCTTGCTGACGCAAGGAACCAGCACCCGTTGTAAAATCGCCCACTGATGCCTCGCGTCGAGACGTTCCAGGCGTGTCCTTATCCTGAAGACCCCCATCAGCTGACTGTGGCAGCACAGACTTACCGCCCGCGCGGGTCCCGCTGAAGGGGTTGACGAAGGACACTTTCCGATACTTGGGACGCGGAAGTCCATCCTGTGCGCCTGTCAATGAAAAGCACCCACATCCAACCTTCGGAAGAGGTCGCGGGGTCGGGGCCATCGGTAGCAGCAACGCAACAAGAAGCAAGCGGAAACACGACAAGCACGCGCGGGCGGGAAACTGAAGCTCTGCGCAGACGCACCGGAACCTATGTTGCGCAGAGCTACAGAGTGAGCTCACATCCACAACTGCGAGTGATTGTATTGCACGCAGAGGCGTGAAAGCCCCCACAGACACAGACACACACACACACACAGACACACACACACACACACACACACACACACAGACACACAGACACACAGAGACACACACACACACACACAGACACACAGAGACACACAGAGACACACAGAGACACACACAGACACACAGAGACACACAGAGACACACAGAGACACACAGAGACACACAGAGACACACAGAGACACACAGAGACACACAGAGACACACAGAGACACACAGAGACACACAGCGACACACAGAGACACACAGAGACACACAGAGACACACAGAGACACACAGAGACACACAGAGACACACAGAGACACACAGAGACACACAGAGACACACATAGACACACACACACACAGAGACACACATAGACACACAGAGACACACATAGACACACACACACACACACATTGACACACACACACACAGACACACACACACACACACACACACACACATAGACACACACAGACAGACACAGACACACACAGACACACAGACAGACAGACAGACAGACGACACACAGACAGACACACAGACACACAGACGACACACACAGACACACGAGAGACACACACAGACACAGAGACACAGAGACACAGAGACACAGAGACACAGAGACACAGAGACACAGAGACACAGACACACAGACAGACAGACACACAGACACAGACACACACACAGACACACAGACACACAGACACACACACACAGAGACACAGAGACAGACACAGACAGACAGACACACAGACACACACAGACACAGACACACACACAGACACAGACACACACACAGACACACACACCACATACAACACACACACACACACACGACACACACACACACACACACACACACACACACAACACAACACACACACACACACACACACCACACACACACACACACACACACACACCACACACACACACACACACCACACACACACACACCCAAACACACACACACACCACTCAAACACACACACACACACACACACCACACAAACACACACCACACAAACACACACACACACACACACACACACACACACACCACACAAACACACACACACACACACAAACACCACACACACACACACACACCACACACAGCACACACAGCACACACAGCACACACAGCACACACAGCACACACAGCACACACAGCACACACAGCACACACAGCACACACAACACACACAACACACACAACACACAACACACCAAAACACACACACCACACACACACACACACACACACACACAACACACACCACCACACACACACACACACACACACACACACACACACACACACACACACACACCACACACACACACACACACACACACACACACACACACACACACACACACACACACACACACACACACACACACACACACACACACACACACACACACACGAACGCCAAGAAGCAACAAACCATCCGCGATCCAGCAGCTTCATCGTCTTTGCGCGATCATCCTTCACTGACCTGGATGTCGGCTGTCGTGCAATCTTCAGACACGTTCTTCAAATTTCTATTTTCCTTCTTGGAGACTCCTCTAGTTCTTTTATCCTTTCATAGTTCCCATTTTGGGCCTTACTGGTGGTCAGCCATGCCCATTGCTCAGAATGATCGTCTGAATCATTGACCGTGCGGGACTTACTGGTGGTCAGCCAGGCCCACGTCCCCGATGTTCGCAACATTCGAAGTGTTGACCAGGCAGGTCTCAGTGGTGGCCAGCCATGCCCGCCGTTCCTCTTTGATTTTCTGCCATTCTCTCATCCCACCAACTCTCCATCTTCAATACTTTCGCTCATTTTCACGGGCGCCTGGAGCCATGGCTGAGGTTTCCGACTTTGCGGATTTCCTCCTCTATTTCCCTCCATTCCATGCACGCGAAGATCCCTTTAGCTCCTCTTGGGTCACTTGGGTCTCCACACTGGTTCGCGACCCCTCAGTGGCCTTCCTCTCCCTCTTCCGCCGCGGGCGGATGACCTTGCTGTCACCCCTGTCCCCATTGCGTCGCTTTCTTCCGATGCATCGGGAAGGCCTGCCGCTCCGGTCCACGTCACATTTTCCGACTCGTACCTTCTCCAGCGCCCACAGCCGCCATCTCCTCCAAGAACGTCCAGGGTACCACCGGGTCGGACTCCACAGAAAACACTGGTGGTAGGCCAGGTGATGATCTCCTCTCCCTCGGCGTTGCTCTATCTTCTACCAATCAAATTCCTGATCCCTCCGGTCCTGACCTTTCCCTCTCTTCACCTTCGCTCGATGGTCTGTATAGCGGCGGTTCCCTCTTTACCTCTCTCTCCTCCTCCTCATCCACGTGAATGGAGTACTTGCCCGAGATGACATTCCGGTCGTCCTCAGCGATCTCGTGTATCTCGGTAACCATATATTCCCTCCCCGCTTCGTCTCCTCTCTACTCTACTGTCCTGCTGATATTCTGAAAGCCTCCGAGTCCGCCTGCCGACCACGCGTAGGTCATACCTCCCATAGGGATCTTTCCGACATTCTCACTGTGTACTCTTGTAGTTCCTTGTGCCTCAGCTCTAAGCTTGAGAGTCATCAGCGCAGCCTGTAATGGATTGTTGAACGTTCCAACAACCCCACCACTTGCCCTTCTGATATCGAGGAAGTCTGCGTTGAGGATCACGTCGTCCCTGTTCGACTTGTTTAATTTCTCTCTCAC